AAGAGGAAAGGGCAGGTCTTTTAAAAAATCCTCCACAATACTTTTCATAAAAAAATAAATGTTAATCTTAAATAATTCTGAAGTGTTTTTTTTTTTTTTTTATAAAAGCTGTGTTTTTTTAAATCTTCCAACCCTTTTGTGTTGACAACTAAAAGCAGCGTCCACCTTTTAATCTGTCAGAATCAGCCAGAATGTTTCCTGTAGTCACTGCAGTATTTTTAAGGCTTTGGCTACACATGACATTTTAAAACATAACTTTTTTTTTTAGACAAAATATTTCATTCATTTTACATTTTACATTTTTTCTAAATTGACGGGTGAAAAAGACATATCAGAATAAACATGCTTTAATTAGTGTATAAGTGGACTTCCTATCCCTACCTGTCTCTGAGGTCTTCAGGGTCATTTGAGTATTCCGTCTCTCTGAGTTTATGACCAGGTCGACGGGGTCGTGACTAATGGAACAGAACAAATAGCACAGGTTTGAATAGCTGATCGTATATATATATATATATATATATATATATATATAGTATTTAGCAGCACTAAAATTGATCCTATCTGGATTTAGGCCACTAAAAACTCTGCAGTCTCACTTTTCCAAAATGCTGTGTGATTGGCAGCCGGCTCTGTAAGCTGTCAGACTGAGCACGGCGGTGTAACATTGATCCCCCCCTCTGCAGGCTGTGATCCTCATGGTGGACCTAGAAAAAAACTGGCAGTTAGCAGCATTTGGGTGACATCAAATATTTTAAAACATTAACATGAACCTACCTTTTGAATCAGCAGGTTTTTCAAACCAGACTTGGAAAGAACTTTGGCCTGTTAGAGATAACAGCGAACAGTTAGGTGGTAACCTGCAATACAAAGCTGTCCTCTATAAAGCACAGACAAACAGCCTCTGGCTGCACTCACCTTCATATTGGCTTTGGTCTTCATGTTGAGGATTAGAGCTCCACCACCTCTCTGTAAAAAGGACAAATGTAAGACTTTTCAGTCCAAAAAGCAAACTAGGAATCACTGAATGAACTTACCCTTAAATTGCCAACTAACTGCTGATAGGATTTGCCCCTCCCTGTAAATTAGAATAAAAATAAAGCAGTCAAAACTAGTTAAAATTCAATAACTTAAACAATAGCATAACCTAAGTTGACCAAAACTTCTGAGTATGCTGAGTTAAAATGGTTCAAATAAATAAGACTGTCTCATAGAAAACCAAGTGGAATTCAATGTCTGTAGAAGAATATTTACTCCTGCACTTGGAATATCAGGGGTGAGTGATTTAAAAATCATAAAATGTAGTGTTAGTTCACTACATAAGCTTTTACTAAACATTGATTTTATCAAAGTATCAAACTGCAGCTGTTATCAGACAATGACTGGTTTTCGATGACTTGCTGTCCTTATAATCTAAAAAATACACACCTGCTGTCATTTCACACTTTGTTATCTCATCCTCAAAGAGGTCATCTGGTCCCTTCCCTTTGTTAAGAATGTCCAGGCGACTGTCAATGAACTGCAAAAAAAGTGGAGAAACAATTCTTAAACCAGATGAATTACTTGATTATCCTATCAACTTTTAGTAACAATGGAATATAATAACCTCTAAGGCATTGATCTCAAACTCAACTTTTGATGAAGTTTTAGACACAGCCCACCTGTTTCAAATGGTTTAACTACCAACCCAAGCTTAGCAGAGATTTGCTATAGAGCTCAGATGGAACTTAGATGTACTGAAATAGAGGCACATCTAAAAGTTGCAGGGGACAGGCCTATTGAGGACTTGAGTTTGAGACCAACGCAAGGTTTATTCTAACTTTTAATCTAAAATTATTAATTCCTTTTGTAAACTGTGGTTTAAAGCAATCATGTAATTTCACCAACATGTTAAAGAATCTGTTCAGGGAGAAAAATATCAGGGTGATGAGAAAAAAAAATGGAAAAATCCAAAAGGCTGGTCAGGATTTCATGAGGAGGGATGAATTAACATTGCAAATAAATAAAATGCTCTAAAATTCTGAAAAGGGTAAAAAAAAAAAAG